GAATAAAATGGAATACACAAAGAAAATTGTTAATGAATGTATTTGAGTGTGGATTGCCTGTGTAAGTGTGTTTGTGTGTGAAGCGTTCACAGCCCTTTTAGCTTTGGCGTGAAAAGTCGATATCACACTCTTTGAAAAGAGGAACACAGAAAGATAGAGCTACTTCGCTAGTTTTTATACACTCAGGGCTGCTGCTGATACTATGTTTATTAAGGGCTGCTGCTGATACTGTGTTTATTAAGGGCTGCTGCTGATACTGTGTTTATTAATGCACTACACTATCATTTAATTTTTATAACGTATAAATAAAATTTAAAAAAATATACATGTGGAAAAAAAGGGTACAAATAATTTTTTGTGTAAACAAATGCATATTTCTGAGTTATTAGTTTACATATGATTGTACATATTAGCAGCAGTAGATACGTAATGGAAATACAGAATATTATAATTTAATTTTTAATTAATTTATTTTTAAATTTTAAGTAATTATTAGATATTTTTTAGATAGTTTACTACACAAGTTACACATTAATCGGTAGTTGAAAAGCCCAATAGATCATTGCATTCAGTATAAGAGTAATCGTTTGTGTTCACTCGATGATTATGCGAATCTTCTAATAATTACTTCTGAATCCAATTCATCTAACAATTCCTTTTCAATCGATAACAACAAGAATGATACTAAATTTCTTTACCTTGTCTTTATAATCTTTAGTCTTGGAAATGTCCTCTCACATTGGACTTGAGTTATTGATAGTGTGCAGATGACTTTAATTCTTATTCCTTTTTATTACTAAAATGATTTTCTGTGTTTTCTTCTTTATTGCATTTTTTATATAAGACCCATGCTATTAGGGCTCCACTTGCCATCGGACAAGCTGACAACCTGGCAAGTCTACCACTGACCAGTGTAATAAAAGCATTTTTTCAAGTAGTGTTGTATTATTAAGAATAAAAATAGCAAATATTTCCCTGGCTACTATTCTATCGAGTTTTTTTTCCTGGTGCCCTGATATGGTCCAAGGTTAGGACCCAGGAAGAACAACACGAACACAAGAGTAGAAATAACGAAGGTATATTACACGAAATAATAATACAAGATGTGGAAGGTGTTAGTATGACTGTCAGTCTGGTTTGGAGTGAACTACTATCGGCTCGATTCGATTTGGTTTCTAGCCAACCCCCACGAGGGTTGCATATGGCACAAGGCCGAGTTTAACGTGGGTTTCCCGAGCCCGTAGGCTCGCCCAAAAAATGCCCGTAGAGCCCGTATAAACGGGATCGGGTTGGTCAACCTCCCCGAACGAGACTCTGCCCTTCAGCGGAGCCTCGTCCGGGTTCCTCTCTGCTCAGAGGCAGAGAGTTCGACACATAGTGTTAGGAAGAGTTCATTCTGTAATTATAGGTAAGGAACCATGACATGCCCTGACTACATAAATTTAAGCGTGCTACTAGACTAGCATTTAGGTACCACCCTTTTACCGTTGAAATAGTTAAATATAACCGCTACTTCTACCCCAACAGCTTCTTTTCTCACACTTCCCGCCTAACCTCCTCCCGTTTACTTGCTTCCCTGATAGCTACATTATTCAAAAATTTAAATGCAACGTCAGTTGTCATCTTCTGATGTCTTGAACCCTGTGCACTTTTATCTTTCTTTATTCCCCGTATACACAATCTCTTCTGTCACTTTCATTCTCTGTAACCACTCCAGCTGCGAACTAGTGGCACTCACGCCTTGCTTGTGGTGAAATGCTTAAAAAAAAGTTGTTTGTGTTTGCTTTTTTTTTCATTTTTATTTGATATAGGAGACTTCACTCCACCAGGGATCCACCTGCCATCTGCCAGGCTGACACCCTGGCCAGTCCACCATTGTTGATAGTTCTACATTTTCTGCAAGCGTTTCATATTGGCATCAGTTATGTGACAGCAGCAGACGAAAGGAAATCAATTTCAGTTTTGACCGGCCTTAAAGATCCCCTATTTTTAATATGAATTCAAAATTTTCTTCCTCTTAGATTGGTTGCCAACCAAAATTAGTGGTCCTCGTCGGCTTTGTTCTACTCAAAGTTGACAATGACTTAAATAAGAAGTGATGGATTCATGCCTTTCCCAAGATCACGTGAACAAAAATGTCTCAGCTAAAATTTGAAACCAACTTGCCAATTTCATTCTTCCCTGCTATTAACTGTTAATCTATCTCCACTTTTAAGATTATAAGTTCTATAAGTTGTAGAAAACAAGTAAAGGAGACTGGCAATATGAAATGAATGAATTTTAATGATGATCAGGTCTTCGCCTTGTGATAAATCTTTAGATCCTACAGATATGACATACATCCCCAAACAAAAACATTTCTTCAATAATCTTAACAATGATGAAGGATTACTGTAAAACGTAATATAACTTCTCTGTCTCTTTTCTATAAATATTTTGGAGAAACAAGAAAGACTTTTAAGATATTATATAAAAAATCTTGAATCAATTTCCAAGAGTCTTTGTGAAGAATGGGGAAAAATGTTTCCCGGACCTTATATGGAAATTAAGATTTTCAAGTTTTATTTTAATCTTTTATTAGGTGCGCAGAAATTCCCAGTGAAAAACTGTTTTCCGATCTGTATTCAAAATTGAGTTTATAAAAAAAGTGCTTCTTTTTAATAATTTTGATTTGTCACAAGACAGAAGTCATCGATCTTGAATATAAAAAAGTAAATTTATGACCCACGTGAGTATCGAGGATTCTACAATGGTATACAGGAAAATACAAACATATCAAACATCTTCTGTGGGAGAAGAGGTCGATTCATGCCTTTCCCAAGAGTGTTTGCGTGTAAGCGAATATAACAAACCCAACTGGAATTGGAACTCGGCTCTTCGATTAACAATTCCGAGCCATTATCCATTACACCACCCGTACGTCCAAGCTTACAGCAGTTGTCATTCCCAAGCGGTTATCCATTTAGGTACTGATCAGGTTCGACGTTACTTAACTTCGGCGATAGAAATCGGTGTTTCAACATGATATGGCCGTAAGTCCCCACAACACTAACGGTATTAGTCAGAAACACACGTACAACTATATTTGGTATTGAATCCCAGGCATTATAGTGTTGAAATGGAATTGCAGAAGAAATAGTACAACTAAGTTTGCATGCTACTTCGTACCAATTCATAAATTACCAAGCACAAAACTTACTTCCTGGGTCTGACCACACACTCTGATGGTGCCTGGTTCAAAGTAAATTCTTGGCTTGATAATCTTATTCATTTGTTGAAAGTTGAACAAAATGTGGCTTCATCTGACAAGAGAACAATGAATCAAATCTCTCACACTTAGTCTACTTCCTCAATCGCATCTTAATATCTCTGCTTAACGTTGATTAGTTTAACAAGTGTCTTTCTTCTGGCTGTTCTGTTTTTATTGGCTGTTATAGTAGCCTGTATAATAAAGGTACTATGTCGCCATCGTTGAATTGATATGGACACACTCTACAGTTTTAACACAAAGATTTCTTTTTCTTTTTTTTTGTTTCTCGTCCGAACACTCAAAGATGACATTTTAAACGATATGCAATGGATGACTTTTCTTCATCAATTAATTATACGGTAACGGGATTAAAAAGTAATTGTAATTTTTCATACAAGGTCGTAAAAAGTAATTATTTTTCATACGATGTCATAAAATTTAAAAAAAAAAAAATTATTTTCATACAGTGTAACCCGGATGTAAGAGAGTTGTCGGGACCGGAGACGAAGTCTCTTATATCCGGGTTTCTCTTATATCCGGGTTTCTCTTATATCCGGGTTTGGTCTATTTTATATACATTAACACAGGCTCTAATTTGGGACCAGAGAAAATCTTTCTTATATCCGGGTTTCTCTTATATCCGGGTTCCTCTTATATCAGGGTCTCTTATATCCGGGTTACACTATTTTAATTTTACATTGTAGTACACCACATATGCAAGATAGATTCTGGCGAGAAAAATTGTCTAGCATGACACAGTGAACCAACTTTCCTAGCAGCAGACATAGCAATGGAGCCAATATAATCTTTCCTCTTTAATGTCAGTGGAAGACATTAACCCGAGAAAGCGCAATTATATTTATTTTATCTTTTCCTTAAATGTAAACACACTGCTATTTTTCACCTAACTTACAACTGAATTTTGGTAAGGCAGATATAAATTCTTTCTATAAAACATTGTTTATATATGGCAATTTAAAAAATGAATTAAAAAATGAATAAAACAGGAATATTTATTAAATTATGGCTTAAAAAATTAATAAAAATTATTAAAAAATTTTTAAAGTATACCTTAAAAATTGTTAAAATTTGTTAAAAATTATTAAAGTATGCCTTAAAAAATTATTAAAACCTGTTAAAGTATGCCTTAAAAATTATTATCCAAATTAACTGTTACCGCTTCTGTTATAAACGCAATATATTATTAAGATATAAAAAGCTGACGGAAAATTGATCGTGTAAAGCGATTGCCTGTTCTACTGTGCTTATGAAAGTTGGGGACGCACAGAAATATTGGCTTAAGCAAATTTATAAAAGATATGAAATCTCAGAGAAGAGGGATTCCACTTACACATGCCAGGCAATTGTATTCAGATTTCAAAGATGCTTAATAAAATTGACCACTTTAATACTTGTTACTAATTTGTTTATATTGAGATGCTGAACTGTTTTTTTTAAGGTTCCACTGAGAGAAGAACTTTATTTGAAGACAGGGACCAGAAACCATTCTCAGAGAAGAGAGGAGGCAAGGTAATCGGTTTGAAAAGTCTTCAAACAGAATCAGAAATCTCTGAAGAACAAGGTGAGAGTTTGGTTCCGAGTTATTAAAGAGTGGTGGTGGTGGTGGGGGAATGGATTTTTGAAGACTATTCTCTCCCCTCAATATCATGTTTGAAGACATCGCGAAAATCATCCTCTGGGGTTGATGGGGAGTGAACGAAAACAAGTATTATAAACTATACAAATATAGAAACCATTATCTATCTATCTATCTATCTATGTTCAAATCTATCTATCTTGAGATGGTTAGAACATTTGACTAAAGAACAAAACTCGTATCTCGTCCGATCTCACCACGAATAGGGTGATCACAATAAGGCCAGTACGCTCAAATCCTCGGTCAGGATGACTTGAGATTTCTTGCCAGCTCAACCATCGACGTCTCCAAAATAGTTCCGTTTACCTAACTTTACTCACAAGACTTGAGTCAAACCGTGGGGTATGGTTTTCAGGCAATTTCCAAAGTTACCGTACACTGGTATCGCACCCCTAGGTAGTTAAACATCAAAAGTCACCCTCATGACAAATCGACTGTGGTGAGTATCGAACGCAGGACTCATGATCAGAAAGTGAACGTTCTAAGCACGTGCCCGCGTATATTAGACTTGTGTAGTGTGAAAGCTTTATTATTAAAGTTTTACGTTGATTTGTCAAAATTATGTTATAACCCTCTCCACCCAGAAGTAATATTTATTGAACTGAAGCACGTGGGCATTTAGTGGTCTGAATCACACTGATGTGCCAAAAGTAATTGAATAGCACTAAATAAAGTTAAAGGTAGGTAGTTGCCCATGGCAAAGCGATATGAAATATCAGTTTGAATGGCGAGTACCAGGTGATTGTGACATTCTATTTTTGAAATTGAGAGAAGTCAGTGTCCCCACAACCTACAATGTCTTGTGTGTATACTGACCTTCCACCCACCATGGATAGTAGTACCTGACTATGAATTATAAATGATAGTATGTGGGGGTATGCTCATGTGGCCTGAATTGTGTCTGCTGGTCTGTCAAAAAACTTCATTGACTGATTGCTGCTACATTACACACCTTTGTTGACCATTTTCACCCATTTATGGACTCCTTGTACATCAGCATTGATGAGTTATTCCTACAGGATAAAGCTCTGTTGTTAGGTCCAATTTGTTCAGAATTGGCTTCAGGAATATTCTGGAGAATTCCAATGAATATTATGGCCACCACATTTGCTCAGCATTAGTGCAATTGTGTATTTATAGAATATGATATAGAGGTCTGCTTGCCCACAAAGCCCTGCCTACAAATAGGGAGCTGTGGACAGCATTGGCATGGCTTAATATCTATCTGACCATTTATAGAATCTATGTCACATCTACTTGATGCATCTTGCTGGGCTCACAAGGGTCCTGCACTATACCATGTGCTTGACATGTGCATTTCCAGCAAGGAGAAAAGGACAATCTTTTTGCTTAATGTGGTCAGTCTATCTATACTTCATTCCTAATATAATATCTAATTCTTGAATGACCTGTTGGGGTGATATAGACAGCAATGGTATGTTTAGCGCTATTTAGCTTCTATGCGTCATAGAAACAGAAAGTTCGCTAGCATGACTATAAACACAACGGCACTGGACTTGTGCCTCACCTGGGCTTGGGATGTCACTAATTAGACCCTGAAAGACTGGCATCATGACAAGGGTTCATTGAGTTATAATTCTGGCTGTTTCACGCTAATGGTAGTGTTCAGGTCTGACAAAAGTCATGGGATAACCGTATGTAAAGGTAGTGGAAGGTGGCAGCACTGTACTTTGATGTCATGGAAATGCCCAGATCTATATCGCTTGTGGCAGTATGTCATAGCAAATTCATTAGTTGAAAAAGGCTAGTACGTTCAAACGTGATGGAAAAGCCGATTCTTTGTATTTTATCAAAATATCGCTAAATATATAGCGGAAACATCAGACCAGATCTGGCAGCAATATTCAAAGCAACAACTATATAAGATAGATTCTGACGAGAAAATTGTCTATTAGGTGACCAATACTGTAAAAATCACCTATTAACTGACGTAATAAAGGTCATTATTGCTATTTTCTCTTCTCGGATTTTGAGATATTCTTGTAAACTGGGAAATAAGAAAACGGCACCAGCTTATAAAAACAACTTAAAAATGTAATATTTGCCTAATGAAGTAAATAGAGATAATCACTTGACATATTACCCGGCGTAGACAGGGTTTTCCGATATTTTTCAATAAGATTATATCGCAAGGATGTTTTGTTAAAAGCTTTCTTTTTCTCTTCAGTTTCTTATGGAGATGATATAGACCAAGTTCTTAAAAAGTTACGGAGTTCCCTTGGCTGGAAAACAGAGCTTCCCAAGAGAAACGGCCAGTGTAAAGCTCGGGTCTTGACGCTCAGCGACACGGGCTCAGCTTTCGCAGAAAAAGTAAGATCTAAATTTGATCTTTGGTATTACAGACACTGTAAACAGAGCTCGCTTGCCTTGGTTGTCTCTAATTTCGAAACCGGGATAGAAGGGTCTCCTTATTCATTTTGATGACAATACTTCAAGTGGCCAACGGCTTCATCCTTGTAGTAAAGATGGGTGAGCAACGGCTCGGTGGACAGATTTCGAGTAATGGAATTAAACATGGACATATAGTTGGTTCCAATCAGTTAGCAATGACTGCGAAGAAGAAATTCTACTGATAGTGACATTTCTCCCTAAGCCATAAAAATAGACAATTCGTGATCTCATGTTCACGAATCAGAACACTATAAACATTTGATAATACTTTTAATAATAATAATAATGCTTTTAATTTAATTGCAAAATTAAATTCGGGGTTTTTAGCTTCTATTTTTGAAACATGGTTGGCACTGTGTAGCGAAAAAAAAACATATTTTAAATCAATTAATTTATAATATTAATGCTCTGTAAATTTACATTGAGCACTATTTTGTAAAAATAAAATATCTATAAGAACACCGGATTTTATATCTTACTGTTCTTTCTTTTTTATATTTATATATATATATATATATATATATATATATATATATATATATATATATATATATATATGGATCCTAGTAGTATAAAAAATATTAAAACTGATCCAAAAAAAAGCTTAATGTATTTATTATTACAGAGAAAATAAATTAGTACATAAAAAATTTAAAAATTATCTTATATGAGAAATAGACCCTATTTCAACAATGATCCACAATGACTATTTTAAATGTAGTGATTAACATTTATGACATGAAAAGACAATTTAAAAAAAAAAGAGTTATGTCACTTCAAATTGTTCCAATTACAAGGGACATAACTCTTTATAAAGTTATGTCCCTTATTCTATAGCGTAATTTCCGTTCCCTGTCATCTTATTTTTGTTGCTATTTACACCTAGCAGAAGTTTTAGATAAAATTGAAACAAAAAGGACACTTAGCACCGGAAATAGATAGCTGACATTTCTGGGATACATAATAAGGAAAGAAGGCTTGGAAAATTTGACACTCTCAGGATATGTTAAAGGCAAACGTCATCTCACATAATAGATTCCCCAAAAGATGTCAACATCCATAAAGCTCTTGCATTGGAATGCATTTAACAAATTTCACAAATAATTTGACGCTCAAACCTTCCATCCTCCTCAAAAAATACAAACCTTTTGCATATTGATTGAACCTGTTCTATTGTATGGATCAGAAACATGGAAATTATCTGTTCGTCTTGAAAGACGACTGAATGGAACATATACAAATCTACTTAGAAAAATCCAGAACATCAGTTGGAAATTCCACAATTTACAGAGAACTGAGACCAATTTCTCTTAAGCTCAAACAAAAACGATTAGATTTTGCCGGCCACTGCAACCGAGCGGACAGGGAAAATCGTCTCATCCTTATTCCTATGGCATCCTTCTGGAAGTATTTTATCACGAAAATTGACTTTTTCAGACACCATAGCTCTGGACTCAGGGTTGGACATTGCAGATCTAGAGCAGCAATGAAAGACCGAACAGAATGGAAAGAGATTGTCAATGGAGTCCCGACCAACCATAAAGATGATGAAAAACAAGCGGGGCAGAAGAAAATAGTCTATAACCTAGCTAACAAGCTTGTGTAAATGGTTGGCAGAACAGAGATTAGGAGCGTTAACAAAAATTTATTAAGAGCTATAAACAAATAGGGTTTAGGAAAACAGAAGATGGCAAGTGACGTTTTGAAGATTGTTGGTGTCAGGAAAGCAAGAAATTGGAAAGGACTTCCACAGGTGAGAAGTGCGAGAAAAAGAAGCTATTAGAAAAGAACAGACAGTTGGATCTAGCTAGTTCAACATTAAAGGTGAGAATTAGTGACCAGTCTAGTAACACGCTTAAATTCTTGCAGTCCAGGTACTAAGGAGAAAAGTTCATCAGAACAATTGCAAATATTTCTTTTAGAAAAGACAGAGGGTAGCCACGTGACGTCCAGATGCCAGGTCAGATTCGATTTCATTACAGACCGTTCTTTGAATTTTGTCAAGAACCCCAAGATAAATAGGAGTACAAGACCATGTCACTGGTTTAAGGAACAGCTTCCCGCTAGGATGCTTTCCCGACCACCACATTCTAGTAATATGCATAAAAAATATTTTTATATATAAAATCTAAAGAGCAGGCTCGTGTTTCTATAACAGAATCAAACACTACAAGACACACGCACACACACAAACATAGAGGGTGTGACAGGGTGTGTACGAGAATTAGAATACTTTATTGAGGAGAAGCGTGGAAAAGTACAATGAAGGAATAGAATTCAGGAAGACAGACTGATGTTGCATTTGCATTTTTGAAGGTTTTAGTTGGCAGGGAATCAAGAAAACAGAATAGAATTTCACAGGTGAGAAGTGCGACAAAAAAACAGGAAATATTTGTAGAAAAGACAGAGGGAAGCCACGTAACGTACGTCGAGATGCCAGGTCAGGATTTATTACATTAGAAACCGTTCTTTGAATTTTTTTTTAAGAATCTCAAAATATATTGTAGAAGCACCAGACCAGATATGGCAATTTATTTGTAAAAAAGCGTCTTCCCAAAAATCGCTGGTTTTCGGAACAACCTCCCGACCAACAAAATCTAGCAATATATATATATATATATATATATATATATATATATATATATATATATATATATATATATATATATATTAAAAAAAAATGGACAAAGTCCGACAATTTTATTTATTAAAAAGACATTTTATATGTTTAA